TAGACTGTGGGCTGTGAACTATATTACGACCTCTAAAGAGAAAGGAAAAACAAAACACGTGAGTAAAACTATGTACAAAAACATGCGCTGGACTAGTGCGCTAAGTATATAACTCTATACTTGACACTTGGCTGATTCTATCAAAAGAAAATTGGCCAACTAATATTGTTTTCAATGACGAATGTATTTAACAAGATCAAAACTCTTCTCTATTCGAGCTTTCTCTTCTGGTGGCGGAGCGCTCTGATAAAAAAGATGGTCAAACAATGATCAATCGACAACAAAGCGCGAAAAAATTAATTTTTTTAGAGAATAAATTTTCCTTTCTAAATAAATTAATTAACGTTACGGCTTGAATACTACGATTTATCAATAAATCAAGAAAACGCTCAAAAGAAAATAGTATTTTGTCTGTTGAAGGACGATTAAAGGCAAAATTGTATTGGGAAAACTTTATTGAATCGAATTATTTGAACGAGATTATTGAATCAATTCAAAAGAACAGTTCGAATAAATTAAAGAAACAATTAGGTTTATGGTTACACCAAGATGGCGTAATATGGACGGTGGTCGTTTAAAAAATGTAGAATCAAATGACTGTTGCGATTTTCCTAAGCTGTTGCCGAAGCATTCGAGCTTTACAAAGCTAGCCATCCAAACGTACTATCACAAAGTTTTACATTTGGGGATTAGCTCAACTTTATCTCAATTACGCCATGAATACTGGATACCGCAGGGACGATCTGTTGTATCAAACTACGTCAAAAAGTGTATTCCGTGCATTAAACTCAGTGACAGCCCTTACAAGCTTCCAGCTATGCCACCCTTTCCGGTCGATCGCGTTACACCGTCCGCACCATTTTCCTTTACAGGAATCGATTACTTAGGACCGTTTGTTAATTAAAGACAAGGATTCTCAAAAAAAGGTTTGGATATGCGTTTTCACTTGTTTATGTGTTCATGCGATCCACCTGGAACTTGTCAACGATTTGACTGCCGAACAATTTATCATGGGTCTTCGGCGATTTATTTCGAGGCGTGGAATGCCGATTAAACTGATTTCAGACAATGCAAGAAATTTTAAACTATCAAAAAAGGTTTTAGACTCAAACCAAAAGAAATTGTTTCAAGATACGGACGTTCAAACGTATGTTAGTCAAAAAGGAATCGATTGACATTTTATTGTAGAATTATCCCCATAGCCTAGAAATTGAAGCCGTGATAAACTCTCGCCCGCTTACTTACGTTGGAGCAAAGTTAGACGATTCCCCTGTCCTAACTCCAAGTCACTTTCTATTGTTGAATCAAAAAAAAAGATCTTATTAACAATGAAGAATTTGACAGAGATGACTTAACTTATTTCTATAACATAAGCTCAACTCAAAAGCTAATTAACTTCTGGGCTGAAACGCAAACATATTTGAATAAATTTTGGGCGATCTGGTATGACCAGTTTATACTCAGTCTCAGAGAGCGTTATCAACGGCAACCAAACAAGGGCGAAGTCAATCGACTGAAGATCTGAAAGTAGGCGATTTAGTTCAAATCAAAAGCGATTTACCTCGAGGTACCTGGAAACTCGGACGTATCAAGCAATTAATCGTCGGCAATGGCAATCAGATTCGATCGGTCAAATTGCAATTACCTTCGGGGAAACTTTTAAATCGATCTGTATCTCTGTTGCATCCAATAGAAGTATAGTTTACAAGTTATGTGTTTGAAAAAACTATTAATCTGAAAATGTTTTGAAGAAAAAGTTTTTTTTGTGTGTTTAAAGAAGATATATGTTAACATTTATAAAATAAAAGTTTTACCTGTATAGGACAGATATTTATTCTTCGTGTGTAAGATGTACATTTTAGCAACAGCAATCAAAGCTTAAGAACTTGGCGAAGTACAAAAAATCTAATAAAAATCAAGCATTTCGCTACACGCCTTTTATGCTTTAATTTTCACGCCGTTCTGTAGATTTCGTCAAGATCTGTCGGCTTACACATAATAAAAGTTGATGGATGGCTCATATACAGTCAAGCATTTTCTGCTTAAGAGACGCGCAAAAGGGCTAAAACGTTTGATTTAGAAAATGATCAAATTTCTGTTTTTGTCAACTACCAGTCGTTACATGGCCAATTGACGCTGCAATTTCCACGCCCGTGCAAAGGTTGTCGAGATCATAGGGTATTCGCATCAATGTCGACAACAACACCTTCGATGAAAAAGTTACAACTCGTCGAAAGTCCAATCAACCATTTTTTCCTTACTTTGGCAACAACAAACTCTTCGGAATCGCACTCATGGAAGGTGAATCTACTAGCATCATCTGTCGTACCGTCTCAGGTTGCATTAAGGAAGCTTCGACGTCATCATCATTGCCGCAGTGTTTCGCGTTCAGAACAGTGAACAATTGTCCCTTCTTTGAAGCGAGAGAGAAGCAGTAGCCGTACTATCGCAGGCTCGCCGCTGAGAGCGGACACTTTGCTTCTCATGCCTACAGATAATGAAGCATCCAGTGATGAGGATACTACCACACATGCAGACAGAAAACCTGTGAAGCCGTATCGCAAATGCCAACAGAAAAATACACGAAACTCGTTAGAAAACGCTCACGAATGCAATATTCTGTTTCTCACCCTATACTTCGAACTTACGAGGGAACCTTCCGAGATGATAGAGCTTTTTTTGATCGACATCTGGTGGGTTATAAGTTATCGACCATGCTGATCCCGAATATGACCATGGGGGTCCCCAATAGCTCTTCAAAGATCCAGTCTTCTGGAAAACCAGTTTTTTAGAAATCTCCAAAAATAATCCAAGCCTTTCTTAACAATTCAGGATTGTAGCGCGCCAATTTCTGATTAACATGAAACATCTCCCAGCTCTACAGGACCTTTCTTTGCAAAGTTATAGAATTTATAAGAAGAGCCCTAAATTGTCCATTGTCAGTTCAAAGCTACAGAAGTAAGAAGGAAAAAATTAACTTAGTGCTCTTCTGATAAAATATATAACTTTGCAAAGAAAGGTCGTGTAGAGCTGAGAGATGCTTCATGTTAATCAGAAATTTGCGGGCTACAATCTTGCATTATTAAGAAAAGTTTGAATTATCTTTTGGGGTTTCTGAAAAACTGGTTTTCCAGAAGACTGGATCTTCGAAGAGCTAGGGAGAAGCCTCATGGTCATATTCGGTATCAGCATGGTCGATAAGCTATAACCCACCAGATGTCGATCAAAAAGCGATTTATCCCCTCAGAAGGTTCCCTCGTTAGCCTTGATGGTTTGTGTCGGGTGGACAAGCTGCAGCATACCAACACTTTCATTACGCATCGCAAAACATTTCTGACTAATTGAATGAGCGCTGTGTAATTGAAAATGGCTCACCAGTTCACAAGTTTTATGTGCAGTTGTATGGTAAGATATTGGAGAAGAATAGTTACACAAACGCGATTGTGCCAGGTTCCTTTCGAACAAATCTGGGAAACGACAGCAGTTTTGATCTTTACAAAACAGCCTTTTCTTTGACTCGAATTGAACGATAGCAGCTACCCTTCCTGTGCAAATCTTGTGTGGGTAGCATATGTGAAAGAAGACGATCCGAACGTCTGTTCAGAACTTACTGAATGCGGCTTTAGTAATCTCACACTAATCTCAGACTCATGCAAACGGTTCCGTGCTGTGATTACTTGGAAAACTGCTGTTACGAGAAAGTACATAATTGATTGCTACATAAGAAGACGAAGAAACGGTAAATAACTGAATGAAATATACAAGTTCTGCAGTGTTCAAATCCAGGTTTAATGTTGAAAAATGAAAGTTATTACATTATTCGCGTACAAAACCTTAAATCTGGTGTAAAACAACTACAGTAACACATCGAAGTAATTACTATGAGGACTCCTACCATCGCTACTTGCAGGTCAAATAGTGTTTGTCATTAGGCATGTATGGTCCAAAAGTATTTTTTGTGAAACGAAAGTTCTGATTCAATGTTAATCAGAAAGATTTATGTCATAATTTGTGTCTTTCTTTACTAGATATCGACGCAGCACTTTCAACCAGTAACGGGCAATTTGAGTTATGTGGTTTATTTTTTCAGACGGTAAAACATTTACACACTCTGTGAAATAGATCAATGGTAATAATTTGTCTATACATGCTTTTTCTATACATTTCAAAATAATAATTGCCCACTTAACAATCTTTGTGTCGTTACATCCATGAGGACGGCATTTATCTCCTTCGGATGAATAGAAAATATAGTCAAACAAAGCCATTTTTACAACATAGGATGGTATCTGATAAAATTCGTTTGATCTACACTCTCCATACCATATTCCAAAATGTTTTATTAGCATATACGCTTTTCGTATTATCGGCGGCATTTCAGTAAATACTTTTGTTTCCACTCGTGAAAATGATAAACGAAGATAAGTACAAGGTGACTCTGATAAATGAAAGCTTTTTTGACGGCATTTTGTTAATAGCAGGGTTGACATGTCATCACTATTATAAATGGTTATTAATTGACCCGATATCCATTGTTTTAAAAATAGACACGGCACCAAGTCTAGACTTAGATTTAAAAGTCTGCTATTTTTTACATCGAGATGAGTTAATTTAATGCATGTGCTGGCTTTACTTGTATATTCGAGGCCATAGGTAACATCCGGTTCAATGATTTTGAATGGGTAACATGAGTCTTCATATGACGCCAATTCAAGATTGTATTCTTCTAATATATGTGATTGTTCATTTAATGCTTTGTGTAACAGTGTTTCAAAATGACATAAAAACATTCTTGAACAAAACAAATTATTATGTGTGAATGAATGCCAATAACTATACAAAGGTAAATTAATATCCTGTTTCAATTTTAACTGTGCATAACCGATACAGTCATCATATTCAATGATTTCAAAATATTCCTCAAACGATGATGATATGTTTAAAAGATAATCAAATTCATCTGGAATATCAATTTTCGTTTTTTCACTTACGCTACCGCTGCAGTAGGGACTAAAAATTAATTTTGAATTAACTTCATTCATAATTTTACATAATTTAATGACAAATTGGTGAATATGATCGACTATATTTGAAAATGTATCATTTTCTAGCACACTATTATTTATGCATTCGTTCAAAAATTCATTGATACCACTTTCATCCGGTTGATTGTCCCTTTCGTCGTTTCGTATTTCATTATATCCTATTCGTGGATACAACTTGTTTTCACTGAATAACGTAGGCATATATCCATTTTCTATCGGTTTAATCAATCTCATTGTTTTGCCACCATACTCGATCAAGGCTAAACTAGCCCATTCATTATTTGCAGCTATAGATAAATCAAGTGCTGAATGTCCATTGCCGTCGATACTATTCACACTGCAACCATTATCAATGAAAAATTTGATCAATATTTCGACAGTACGTTTCAAGAAAATTCGTGAACAGAAATGTAACGGAGTGCGTCCAAAATACGTAGCTATATCACATTTTCCACCAGCTTTAACAAGATTATCTGAAATACAAATAAGTTTTTCCATACGCTTTTGGTTGTCGTAGTATTTTATCGATTGATAGTCGGTCGAAGCAGCTAACAGAATATGGTGAAAAGATGTGAGACCGTAGTTATCTTGGGCATTTAGATCAATGTCGTTAAATTGTGAAAAATCTAGACTGATAAATAAATCACTGGTATATGGGCTCATGCAATAATACATGAGCCAATGTAGAGGCGTGTGATTACTGTAATCACCAATATTCATACTGGCACCTTCTGCTAATAATCCCAGTATGATATGCTCACAGCAAAATCTTCCATTGATAGCTACATTTAACGAGTTTCGTCTATGAATATCAAGCTGATTGATTGCAGCTCCTGCTTGAACAAGTATGTGAACAATATTTGCACAATGATCATGCTGATTAGCGTTAGCAGCGTGATCAAGATAATGCATAACTGATCGGTTTTTGGCATCGACTGCCGTCACATTTGCTCCAGAAACAAGCAATAATTTAATGATATCAAATCGACGCTCGTGTACGGCTTTCATCAATGGATATATTTGTAATTGATCTTCTGATGAGTTCGGATATGCTCGAATTTCATAATGAAAATTTACATTTGCTCCTAGTTCAATTAAATATTTTGTTAGACTCAAATCATCATTTTCAATTGCGTATAGTAACGGTGCATTATCATCCTGAATATCAAGTGAAATATTTTTATCTTTTACTAAATCTTGTATTAGTTTATAATTTCTAGTCTTAACTGCGTGTTCTAATTCCTCATTGAAAAACATTGTTACTCAAGTAAGTTACAAAAAAATGAATTTACGCTTTTCTAGCATTTAAATGTTTTATCAAAAATAAGTAATAAAAAGAAACACGTATATATATATATATACATGACTATTGTTTCTGTTCTTTTTTATTCTCTGTTTTGTGTTGTATTTCTTTTTGATTTCTTGAACACTTCAAAACTGTAGACACAGAAACATACAACTGACAGCATCACATTCAAATAACGTATAATGTTACCTTTTCTGTTCTGAATAACTTTTACTGCTCTTAAATACGGAATCTATTTTCGTTCTATAGTATACAAATAAAAGGGGCAAAAAGAGAACGGTAAATAGAACATTTTGTACTGAAAAACGATGATGAAAACCGTAGAATTTCAGTAAGTGTACATGACTATATTTTTCTTCTAGAAATCAACGGGATCCAGGTATTTCTAGCGTCATCAAAACTTCCCATTTGGTACGTCGTGATAATATGAAGAGATATGTTTAAAAATGCGATTATACTTTTCTTTTCTGTTCTACGGATGCCATATGCCTTTGTCTGTCGTATACACCATGTCCTTTTTGTTTTCATGAAGCCATCTTATGTTCTGTACTACTGATGTTATGACTCTTGTTTTCCATCTGTTTTCCGTATGCTCAACTATACGTAAATTTTAGAGAGGTGCATATTTCGCATGCAATCCATATCGTCGTTTAATCGCTCTATGTAATTTCGAAAATTATGAATTATGATTTCGAAAATTACACCCTCACCCCACTGTCGTCTCACACTAGTGAGGTTGCGAAAGATATTAGTAACACTACCAGGTGGGAACAAGGACGTGGTTCTCGAAATACTTCCCGAATTCACCCTCATAATTCTCATAATTCTTAGAAACTAGGATAACTTCACGCTGCGTATTATGTATTAAGTATGCAACTGTCATGTAATATGTATTAGGATAGTATTTTGACTTGTGGATCGCAATACGGGTTGTAATTGTTTTTTGATATCTCTGAAATTTTATGTATAAATAACTGTTTTTGAGAATGTTTTTATGTAATTATTTGGATTATTATCATGCATAAAATTCTTGTTTATAGAATTGTGAAGGCAATATATAGAGTAGATAACATAATATTTGTGGCATATAAGATAAAAAATACGCTATTGTTAATAAATATTCGATAGATCATAGTACATGATCTATCACACACGCACAGCAGTTTCCTTGATAAAAATCTAAAAGTTGTATATTGTAAAGGTTGTTTCTAAGTTTTTTTATCTTTTCTTGTATCTTCCTATTACATGACCAGTACATATATAATAGGCGTTAAAAGGCGTCTTTCTTTTCTTCTCTATAAAGTTTTCTCCAAAATGCTCGGAAGCAGGACTTCTCAAAAACCATTGTTTTTAGGCTACTTGTACTTCTTAAAAAGGATTTTAATAATCATTGTTAGGACATGGAACATTTTTAATAACATATTTGGATTTAGTGCCGACAGGTCAATATTTTGAGAAAAAAATCAAGTCTCCAACTATGAATTTCAATTTTTGAATTTAATTTAAAATTTTAACGATTCAATGTCTTTTAAAAAAAAAATAGCTCAGCTTAGAAAAGAGATAGAAACTTGATTCAAACGTAGTTGGACAGAGAATTGAAGGCTAAATAAACATCGGGGTTTGGCAAGATCCAAATGCCATATGATCATGGTTTTTTAGGGGATCTCTAGAAAGTCTCTTTTTTCTTTCACTATTTTTTGAAAGTTAAACTTTAGTACTGAACATTTGTTACCTCGTAAAGGCCAAAACAATCGAAATAAGATATTTTAGCGCTAGTGATGATATCGGTTGCTATACGAAAGATAGCTGCCTTCATGTACTCAACTGCTATAGGTCACATTGATCTTGTTTCTCTTCTCACAAAGACAGACGATGTGTATAGCAGAATAAAAAGTTAGTAAGTAAAACAAGCCCAACCGGCATTGGACCACTGCAGATTTTCTACGAAAACTAAAAGAATTCGTAATTCTTCACAATCAATTCAAATGAGTTGAAAACTTCAGAATATCCTCCATTTTAAACTACTCCACGATCATGTGATTCAAAGTGCAAGAATAACTGACTGTTTGGTAACGTGGAAGTTACCCTTGAATGTGAAAACATCGAAGTGATTTCTTAAGATCTCTACTGAAATGAAAGGTTTATTAATATGTGAGAAAAAAAAGTATTAGATCGAAATATTATTGCACTTGTTTTTCTTTTTCTTTGTTGATTCAGTGACAAGTAGAAAGAAACATAGTGCTTGTTTTACAAAACACATGATGGAATAGATTTTTTCTGTTTCTTCTCTCACGTTCTAAAACATAATAGATCCTGCCTCGTCTTAAAAATGAGAAAAATAAATAAGACATTTTATACTTTATAATACTATTGTACGAGAAACTAAAATTAACACACAATGAGTAAAATGTTACAGCGTCCAGCATAAGTGTTAAATGATATTAGTTTGTCTAATTTAATAATAACGAATTGATAACATTAATATGGTTCTTCGAAAATATGGATAATGATAATAACGATGGCGATGTGAAAAAAACAAAACAAGCTTTGAGAGAAATCAACGATCATGTTTTATTTTATAGTGACAGAACTCGTCTGCTTGATTACATAAAATCAGTAGAAAATGAGAAAATATGTTTCATTTTATCTGGTTCATCCGCGTCAAAGAATAATTTACTACCAACACTGTATATTTTGAAACAAATCAATTCAATCTTCATATTTTGTATGAATAAATAAAAATATCTTCATTTACTTGACAGCAACTACAAGATCAAGGGTATATACAATGAACAAACACAACTAATCAAATCAATTACTTCTCATTTATATTTAATAGAAAAACAATTTGAAATATTTAATTTGTATAATAAACAGCAAAAATCTACCAAAGATTTATCAAAAGAATCAGCTGACGAGGGAACCTCTTGAGGTTATAAATCGCTTTTGAACTCGGACTACTTGTATCTTGTAGACCTCAGTGAGTAGTGAAATACCCTAAGTTGGTTCATCCCCATGGTGCTTTGTTGCTGAGATA